TCCCCCTAATCCTTTCTGCTGGTTCTCTCCCTTAGCCTCACATAGCTTCCTCACACACCCAACTAGCAATACTCAGCTGAAGACTCAGGAAGACCCAGGAATTCTAATTGACTTTGTCCTCCCGGAGTCTCAATGCCTGTCGTCAACTCAGGGACAACATGGACTTAGCCTGGGTCCCCCTCCCTGTTCTGTGGTCGAGAAATTCTCTCCAGGCAGTAAACTGGGCCAGTGGAAGGCTCATTTGTTTCTCACTCTCAGAAACCATCTATCCTCCACTCCCCTTTGTCTTATGATTTATGATGAAAACCACCATGTTATGTGTTTCCCCCAGTTTTTTAGTTGTTTGAAGTACAAGGGTAAATGGTCTCCAAGACTCCATCTTGGCTGGGAAGCGGAGATGACATCATCTAATTTTGTCTTAAAAGGATCACTCTGGAGACCAGACTAAGGATGGGCAAGGGCAACAGCGGAAAGACCAGTGGACAATTGCAGTAATCCAGGGGACAGCCAGCGGTTCCCTGGCCCACGACTTCAGGGATGGTGGTGGTGAGGTAACGGAGTTCAGAAGGCAGAGCCAGTGAGGTTTACTGATCCACGTGTGAAAGATCATAAGGAGTCATGGTAGACGCTACTATTTGAAGCCTAAATAACTGGGTGAACAGGGAAGACTGGGAGGAGCAAGGTTGGAATGAAACAAGACCAGGAATTTGGTTTTGAACCGTTGACATAAGCCTCTCTGCCAGGAAGTCATTTCTCAACACACATCCCTCCCTCCCAGGTCTGCCCCACTCCACTGACGGCCTCTCCTAACCTGGAGCACGAGGGTGTGCTCAGCCCTGGGCACACCCGGGCTTGCTTTCCAGCCCACTGGAGATGCCTTGATAGAGCCCTGCCTCGGCCAGCCCCTTCCAAGTACAGAAATGCTCACAGAAGCCGTTACCTGGCTTAGAAACTACTGACATTTATGGCTAGCACTTTGTAGTTTTTAAAGTATTTCACAACTATTATCTCCTTTAATCCTCTCAAGAGCACCAGTGGTGGGTGTAACCATCTCTATTTGCAGGTTATAGAACCAGAACTAAGACTGAGAGCCGTGAGATGATGCCCAAGGCCATTACTGGTCAATCATAGAGTGAAAACTTGAACCTGAACTCTGAATTCTAAATCCAGGACTGTTCTTTTCCATACTTAGACTCAGGCAGTGGAAGGGGACCCTTCGTCTTACCTGTTAGCACCTCGGGGACTTTATCTAAGCCTCGACCTGTGAGCACCTCTCCTTCCCGCCATTAGTGTGTTCCTGTTATAGTGCGTGCAACATGCAAGTGGAATGCCAGGAAAGAACTGGCCAGATGCCTGGGGTCCTGAATTGAGAGGGGTACTGAGCTGTCTCCAGCTTCAGTCTTAAGTCTGCTCTGCAAGTGACCTGCTATCTTAGTAGGAACCAAGACCATGAGGCAGTCTCTCAGTCTCTTGCCGCACACCCCCTGCAGACTTAGCAGCCTTAATTTCCACTTGACCTCCTTTCCCTGTTGCAGTAGCAGAGGGTTGATTCCCCTCTTGTCTAAAGCCAATTAGACAAGATAAAACCCTCCCAGCCTTGGGGCCCATCCACTCAGGTCTGCTCGAAGGACTCTTGCCTGCCTATCAGCCAAGACAGCCTTCCCCTCTCCACTAACTCTTCCCCACCCACATTTAACCCTGATTTTATTTTATTTCTCCCATCTTAAGAAGAAAATCATCCATTCTCCTTCCTATCTGGGCCAATGCCTTTTCTTTCCTTCAAACCCAAGTTCCCTGAATTCATAACCTTGTGTGCCAACGCATTCCTCCCTTCCGCTGACTCATCCACACCCTGGAATCAGGCTCCTTCTGCCTCTCCCACCTGGCCCCCCCTTCTCCTGTGCTGGGCTCACGGGGATCACCAATGTCCTTGGTAAGGATTGAGCCTTAACTTGGTGATGGCCACTCAGTTCTTAGCACTCCTTGCCACCTTGACCTCAGAGACACCACTTGACCTTGCCCTTAGGCCTACCCTCATGACACCCTTTATGGCCTCTCCTCCACCAAGCAGCCCCTGAGTTTCAGAGCCCAGGACTCTCTAAATGAGCCTACTTTGCCATGATTTGAACACACTACTTGAACTACTCCTAAGTTCTAGACTCTTTTTTACAACTACCTGCTATTATCCTGGAGGCACAGTGAACATTTTTATAAATGCATTTATATTCTCCCCATGCCCAGAGCTCCCCTCTGCTCCCTTTCAGGGCAAAATTATCTCTAAATACCTGATCATCTGCAGGGGGATCTTACAAGCCATCCTTGGCACCGTCTTCTCCTAGCCCCCCCATATCAAGCTCTGTATATTCTATCCCCTTGATTGTCTCAACCCTTACTCTCCATTCCCTTCCTGCCTTCATCTGTTGCCTGGGCAACCACATCAGCCCTGCCATACTCACTCTCTCCTGTCTTGCCTTCCCCAATTCAACCCTCTCTCTCCCCTGTCTCTCCCAAGTCTTCCAATGGTTCTCCATTGCCTACAAAATACAGGTTGAACCTTCTGGCATGGCCTACAAGCCCGCAGGATTGGGCCCACCTATGCTGCCTGCAGACCTCCCTCCCCATCTCCAGCACACCACTGGGGCTTCGGCTGCAGTTGAACCTCCTACAGTTACCTGAACCCCTGTCCTCTCGTGGGCTGCTTTGTGATCCCCAGAACACACTTCGCTTTCTCCTGGGCTCCTAGCTTCCCTGTGGGGGAGCACATGAACAGAGTGATGTGGTTCTTTTCCAAGCCTGGCCCGTAAAAATCCCCACACACCATCTTCATTCTCTCCTTCCCCATCCATCAACTGCATGGGAAAGGCTCCAAGGACCCAGAGGAGGGCAAAGTCACAACGTAAGATGTCACACCCCTGAGCAAGATGTGGAAAGAGCCTAGACAGGAGATCCACAAGTGAGAAGCAAACTTGCATTGTGTTAGAAGTCTTCTGTTTGAATCACAAGAAACTATAAGCTCCCTGAGAGTATGCTTTGTAGTTAGCCCATTTTAGTAACACTAGCTTCTAACAGAGCATCTAGTTCAGAATAGTCCATCTAGTCTATGTGCCTGCCAGCAGCTCAAATTAAGAACCCTTAAATTTATGTGTGTGGTGGGGAGGAGCTTCCCTGGTGGCTCAGTGGTAAAGAATCCACCTGCCAACACAGGAGATGTGGGTTCAATCCCTGGGTTGGAAAGATCTCCTGGAGAAGGAAATGGCAACCACTCCAGTATTCTTGCCTGAGAAATCCCATGGACGGAGGAGCCTGGAGGACTAGAGTCCGTGGAGTCGCAAAAGAGTCAGACACAACTTAGTGACTAAACAACAATTTATGTGTATTTTTGTCCTGGCCGAGTCAGTATGGCCTTCACAGGGTGATCCTATGTCAGGTTTACCCAGGACAGTCCCAGTTCCTAATTTGGTTTTGACACATTATGACAGTTGAGTGTGGAAAGGAAATAGGGATGAAACAGCAATGTTGGGAACCTACCCAGGCCTTGGGACTGATCCCTACATGGGGAACTGCAAGTTCAATGCACAGCATTCCAAGAGTGTTATAAACTCAGATGTGGACCAGGAAACTTCAATATCTAAAAGGTCTCTAGCTGATGAGAAGGTGGCAGGAGGTCCCAGGCAACAAGCAGGAGCTGAAGACGGGTGAGCACATGGATCCAGGTGATGAGTCCATTCAGGCTGGGTGCACAGAGGAGTTACTATTGCTGAGGGTGAAGATGTCCTTGACATCTGCTGACACTGAGGACCTCATAGACCTCTGCCTTGCTGGGATCCTTGATTGAGGAAGCAGAATCTTTTAACAAGATCTCTTGAGGACTTAGTGTTTGAAACCCTTTGAGATGCAGTCTTAGGTGAATCCATTTAAGAGAGGGATATGGGGAAAACATGTGGAATGATAGAATCCAGAAATACAAGCACACACACACATTCCCAATTCCTTCCCAGCCTGCCTTATGCCCAGCAGCTGGAAAGGAGGCTTGAGTGCTTGGTTAAACTATGTTCAAATAACTCAAGATGGACAATATGAAATGCATATGGGTAGTCATTCCTGGGATATAAGCCTAAACTTCCTCCCTCCCCCACCCCCATCCCATGCCCATTCTCCCATCCCTCCAGACAGCATGACCCACCAAGCATGGCTCATTGTGCCTATATACATCAGTGAGTCGTTTTGTGCTTTCTCTCTTTTTTAGTTTTTTTTTTAATGTGGACTATTTTAAAATTCTTATTTATTTATTTATTTTTGGCTGTGCTTCATCTTCGTTGCTTCACTGGCTTTTCTCTAGCTGTGGTGAGCGGGGGCTACTCTCTAGCCGCAGGCTTCTTGTTGCAACGGCTTCCCTTGCAGAGCACAGGTTCTAGCGCACGTGGGAGTCAGGCGTTTCCGCACATGGGCTCAGGAGTTGTGCTCCTGGGCTCTAGAGCCCAGGCGCAGCAGTTGTGGTGCGCAGGCTCAGTTGCTTCACGGCGTGTGGGATCTTCCCAGATCAGGGGTTGAACCCATGTCGCCTGCATTGGCAGGGGGATTCTTTACCACTGAGCTACCAGGGAAGCCCTGTGCTTTTCCTCTTTAAGGTTGGCCTTGTAATTTGAAACAGATTTCACCTGGATATACATGTTAACCTGGGGTGGAGGGACCTGGGTAAGGGAATGTGATGACATTGAGTGGTACCAGAATCACTGCCAAGGTCATCAGTACAGGGAAGGCCCTGGTGACGATTCCAGCATTAGAGGGCCATCTTTGCACCTTCTTCGGGGAAGGAGATGCACTGTCAGCACTAATACAACCTGAATGCCTATGAACACACCAGACATTCTTAGACTTCTTACATCTAGTATCTCACCAAGGCAGGGGACGTTTCAGACACAAGGAGACTGAGGCTCAGCTGGCAAGTAATGAAACTGGACCCCAACTTCCAATTAGCCAAAAATAGAAACCCCAAACTGTTTCTATTAAACATAATTTTTATTTCATCCAAGGCAAAACTAAATAAAATTCTACAAAGCAAAACATGTTGTCAAGGCAAGACAGTCAGCTCACATTCATTCTGTGCTTGAACACAAGTAAGTGCTTGGTGTGTGCACATCTGCGCCTCCCAGAGGCACCTGCAGATCTGAGGCCCCCCCCCCCCCAAGGCCCGTTTGTGCTGCATTGTTTTGATCTATAGTTATACAGGAAATTGACTATGAGTATTGTTGTTATCCAAGCCAGAGGGATAAACCATGCATAAGATAGTCGAAAGCACTGCGTATCAGGTGGGAGGTGGGAGGGTAGGGACTCCCTGGGACACAGTAGTCAAGCAAGCTGTAGGATTTCCCCCAGAGAAGTCCCTTCTCCTAGCACCCCCTCCCCGCCACACTCTGACGGCAGCTGTGACAGTGAGATGGCATCATGGTGTTATGGGGCCCAGGAGCACAGCTGGTCTCTCCCTCTGTCTCTTCTCCTTTCTCAGACTCCAGGTGCCCCAACAGGTAGAGTTCAGGCCAGGAAAGAGGGCTCTGAAATGTACAGAATCTCCCCCATCTCAGGCACACTCAGCCTTTATATACACCTCCACACATCCCCACGCCCCTGAACGGCCCCCCCCCCCCCCCACAGCCATGCATTTCCACACGCTCAGTCCACACAGACACACCCTCAGCTGCTCCCATCTCAGGAGCTCGCTCTTACGCCCTTCCTTTTGCATCCAGCTGTGGGCAGCCAGCCAGATGTGAAAGTCTGAGCTCCACCAGCTGTCCTCCCAGACCTCTCCAGGCTCATTCTGGCTGCCTTCTGCACAGCTCCTACACCAGGAGAATCCCAAGGCCTGGAATGCTCAGGTCCTACTTGGGGGTCAAGAAAGGGGAAGTGAGAAAGACTTTGTTTGTGGTCTCCTGACTTTAGCGTCAGCGAAACTGCATGTGTCCTGCGCTCCCAAGTTAAACATTGTGAATGCTCTCTCTAGCCCACACACCCTGAAAACACCCTCACCAGTCCCTGAAGATCACTCTCAGAGACCTGCATGTGCTGAGGGTCTGCTTCGGAAGATGGCTTTGCCCACACATCTTCCACTGCAAATTCATGCCAGAGTTTCTCCATGGGTATAATCAGCCTTGGGGCTGGACAGTCTTTGTTGTGGGGACTGAGTTGAACATTCTTAGCCCTCACACTCATTAAATGCCAGTAGCCATGAGCCCTCAGGCCTTGGAGCAACCAAAAGTGTCCCTCTCTAGAGTTCCAATCACCTCTATGGAAAACTACCAAACAAAAGCCATGGACAAGAAGCTTTAAGTATCAGAGTCAAGGTTTCTAACATTACAAAGGCTAAAATAATTCTAAGGGGGAGGGGTGGGAAGACAGAGACAGAAAAGAGAGTGAGAATGTGTGTATATGTGTGTGTGAGTGTGCACTATAGGGATAGGACACAGAGGACAGGATGGACTTGGAACACTCCCTCTAATTATGATCCCTGAACTCCTAGATCCCTTTCCAAGCCAAAAAGACTTTTTTTAAGCCAAAACTTGCCAAGTCTTACAGTCCTGTGGAGTAGGTATTATTACACCCATTTTACAGATAGGGAAAGTTGAGCCCAGAGAAGGTACATGATCTGCCTATGAGTCAGCAGCAGACCCAGAAGTAGAGAGGATGATGCTCTCCCTCTCCCATACTCTGTATGCCTTGGTTCCTTCTCAGGGAAGTCAGAGGAGCCCAAGACACTCTGCCTGTCCAAATGCTGAAGCTGGGAAAGGAAAAGAAAGTGGTTCTGCATGAAGGAAACTGGAGAAGTTTCCCGAATAACTGGTGGCTCTGGCCTGTCTGCTCCTAAAGACAGGAAAGCCTGAACCTGAGCCTAGGATGGGAGAAGGAAGACACAGGGACGGAGGCAGATCTGCGTGGGCCCTTGCTGGGACGTTCACTGCTGATTGTTGGCAGGGAGAGCCCTTAGGCAGTCCCCACACACTTTGGAAAAGGGGCTACTCCCCCTCTCATTCCTCCCTGGGCCCCAAAGGAGGGAGTGTCAGAAATTTAATGAGAGGTCGAGGTGGGTGGGAGCAGATGGTAGATTCCTCCATGATCACAACCCCGTCCATCCTCCACTTCATCAACCCACAGGGCCAACACCATGACATGGCAGGGCCCTAGGAGCACTTGGCAGAGGCCTCCAGGACTCAGCCACTGGCCCGGGGGCGTTAGCTCCCCGGTCTCTTGCCTGACCCTGAGTGTGGGCGGCTGGGGACCCCTCACCAGGGCCCCACCAGAGTTGGCTGTTCCACGTGGGCTGAAGGAGGGGGCAGAGGACGCTATGAGCCAGGACTCAGGAGCTAAGGCACAGTCTAGCCCCACACACAAGGGGTGTGCAAACCAGTGCACAGAAAAGCAGAGGAAAACTGTGGGCACTCTCAACCTGCCCCTCCCCGACCCCAGACTGCGGATGGAGGGGACAGATGAGCAGGAAGCAGCCAGCAAACCCAAGCGCCCTCTCATCCAAAGCAAGAGGGTCCCTGAGGTGAAGGCAAGCCTTGAGCCAGGGATGGAGGTGAACAACCCTGGGCGGGGAGAAGCGAGAGGAACACAGGAGGGAGCAGCTCCTCAAGCAAGACGGCGCCACCTGCTGCTTCGGAGGAAGAGCAGCAGGGTGGAGCCGGTTGGGAGTTCCCACGAGTGGCCACGGTCCTGCCAGGCCAAGGAGAAGGGGCAGCCAGCGTTGGTGGGCGTTCTGCCGCCACGAGGCCCACCGCTGCAGCCCTGATGCCCCAAACAGAAAGGAATAAGTGGCGCCCAGTGCTCTGGGACTGAGGGACCCCTTCATGAGTCCTCGGAGCCCAGAGATTAGAAAAGCAGGCCAAGTGGACTAGGACCCCCTCAGACAAAGAGGCAGCCCTAGCTGGGAGTCTTCAGAGCCTCCGAGCAGCATGGGGGTGGGGGTGGGGGGAACCAAGGCAAGCAGGCACCCAGGGGCAGAGTGGGGGGAGGGGCACGGGGAACCAGGTGTCCATCGAAGCCTGTCCCTGCAGGATCCTTCCAGCGGCCCCCACCCCCAGAGCCTGTAGAGAGTCCTCCGGCCGCTCCCACCATAAAAGGCTTAGTCCTCCATACTCAGAGTCCAGCTACTGGGGCAGCCCTCACCGACCCCCCCAAGTCTCTCACAAAGAGACATCAGGAGGAAAACCAAGGTGCTCCTCATCTAGGGTGGGGTGCGCTGAAGAACATCTACCCCGGTGTCGGGGAACAGGCCATCCGCCCGCACCGCCCCAGCCCCTCCTTTCCTTTCCAGAACCTTCCGCAGGTTCCTTTCCCCGGCCAGCCCTTGTCCCTGGGGAGCCCTGGTGGGAGGTAGGGGATGAGGCAGGCGGGACAGGACCCCAGTTTCTCCCCGCCCGGGGAAGACTACAGTTTGAGCCAAGCAGCAGATGTTCTCAGGCACATGGGGTCACGGACACGGCTCAAGCATCGGTTTCATCACAGGAAAGTGAGGCTCCCGGCAGCTGCTTGGCCCCAAGCAGGGTTCACACTTTTGTTGGTGCTTTCTCTTCCGCCTTGGAGCCGGGCAACCCATTCTCGGTATTATCGTTCCCTGAGGAACTCACGAGGCACTCCTTCCTGAGAGGGAGAAAGGAGAGAGGGGAGGCAGTGGTGAGAGGAAGAGCCAAGGGATGGGTAAAATTGTGTGGGAGGCGGGGCCGTGGCCCTCGGTTCCAGCCCTGGAGCCTCTCCCTGGCCTTCTGTATGCCACTGTAGCCAGAAGCCAGGTCGCCCACCCTCCGCCTCCATTTCTTCATCTAAAAAATGGCTGCAATGGCCCCTTCTTCATGGGATTGCTGGGAGGAGGCAGGGAGCACTTGGAACAGTGCCTGAGCCACAGGAAGTACTCAGTAAGGCTAGCATCACCAGGTCATCTCAACATGGCAGAAAGCAAGGGTACCAGTCACTCCTCCCAGGGGTCAGTAATGAGGGGAGGCCAAACCAAGGTAGATGTCAGGCTGTGCCAAGCCAGGGGAAGGGTCCAGGCCAGCAGGCAGTATGCCCAGGGCAAATAGGTCCTCACCCAGGGCCCTGCAGGCCCTTCCTCCTAAAGCTCACTGTGACTAGGTATAGAAAAATGAGATGGAAGGGGCAGCCAGGTGTGGGCAGAGGGTGGGGGGATGGGGCAGAAGGAAGGAGAGATGGTTAGATGGGAATACCCGCCAGAATGTCACCACCCCAGCCACCCTGTGCTGGGCATGTTCCAGTTTAAGTACAACATCCCCCAACAGCAGTGGCCAGGCCGCACAGGTTCTCCAGAGAAGACCTGACTGCTACATTACTCCCACCTTTCAGCTCATGAAAACTTCCAAGTCTTTTTCATGGCTTCTGTCACTAAACTACATCTTAGCCTCACCCTGGACTTGTGTAGCTGAGTTTGAGGCCTTCAGGAAAGATTTAACATTTCATCTTCATCAATTTCATCTTGCAGGATTTAGTCTATACCTCCAGTCTATCCTCCTAAATCCGGAAAAGGGAACTCTCCTACACTGTTGGTGAGCATGTTAAGTTGGTGCAGCCACTATGCAAAACAGTTTCAAGGTTTAGTTTTTTAAAACTAAAAATAGGTTGCCATATGATCCAGCAATCCCACTCTTGGGCCTATATCCAGAGAAAACTCTAGTTCAAAAAGATACATGCACCCCAAAGGTCATAGCAGCACTATTTACAATAGCCAAGACATGGAAACAATCTAAATGTCCATCCATAGACGAATGAATAAAGAAAATGTGGTGCATGTGTACAATGAAATATTACTCAGTCATAAAAATAATGAAATAATGCCATTTGCAGCAACATGGATGGACATAGAGATTATCATACTATACTAAGTGAAGTAGATCAGAGAGACAAGCACCATCTGATATCACTTATATGTGGAATCTAAAGTATGGTTGAAATGAACTTTACAAAGCATAAACAGAAAATCACAGAGATAGAAAAAAACTTATAGTTACCAAAGGCGGAGGGATAAATTTGGATAAATTAGGGATTAACAGATACAAATTACTATATATAAAATATATAAACCACAATGCCTTACTATATAGTACAGGGAACTATATTCAATATCTTATAATAAGCCACAATGGAAAAGAATCTGAAAAAGAATAAATATGTAGGTATGTACAACTGAATCACTTTGCTGTGATTCCAGCAAACCAACACAACACTAAATCAACTATACTTCAATTAAAAAAAAAAAAAGATCCTCCCAGATCCCAATTTTGTTCTCCATCCAACACAGTTGCTAGGTTTCTGGAAATTTGATAAGTGTATCATTCCTGTTGTTCTTGCCTCAGAGAGGTGTGAGAGAATGTTGAGGGGGTTCAGGACAGGGTGGAATAATAGTGAAAGATTTCTGGCCAAAGAGACACTCTCTGAGTGTGGGCATGCATGCTCACTTCAGTCATGTCCAACTCTGTGCAACCCTATGGACTGCAGCCAGCCAGCCTCCTCTGTCCATGGGATTCTCCGGGCAAGAATCCTGGAGTGGGTTAGGCCAGCCCTAACTCCTCTACCTCCTGTTACACTGATTTCTGCACATGTCTTCTTTACTTAGGGGCAGAATCTCATTCCTTCTAAAATTTCCTGCAGTGCCTGGCACAGTACTTTGCACACAGCATCTCAAAAAGAGCCACCGAATGAAAGAATGATTTACTGAACTCTAGATCCCACCCCGCTATGAATCAGTAGGGCACAGCAGCAATAGTTGAAGTTTTGAAGCAAACAAGTCAGACTTCAAATCCCAGCTTTATCACTTATTAGCTGTGTGACCCTAGGCAAGTCACTTAACCACTCTGAGCCTCACTTTGCTCAACTTCAAAATAAAATCATACATGGTTTATTTTTTTAAATGCCTGATGGAGTATCTAACACATGGTAGAGGCATGTGATGAATGACAGGAAGTGCTATTACATGTAGCATCCTCCTGATCCAACTGTGCACTAGCATGAAAATGTTAGCCTGCCCTGTTTTCAGTGAACTCATGGTGGCTCCCAAGGATGACTGCTTTCTTTCCCAAGTGCTTTTAAACCATATGTTGAATAATGTGTTCTCCAAATTTTCTCACCAGCAATAGTAAGATTGATTATTAAAAACACAATTTGGTCCCAATCCATGCTCCAGGCCCCTCTCAAGATCTCTGAAATCCTCCCAGCCTCTAGCCATGATGCTAGATAGCCCAAGAGTTCATCATCACAACCAGTCCTCCCAGCTCTCCCTCCCCTATGCCAATCCCTAAAATTCTCTCCCTGCCTTCAGCTGCCTTCCTTTCTGACCAGTGGCATTTCTGCCCTTTTCAGCCTAATTTCTTCTCAACAAAACAGCACGAAGCCAAGCCCAACGGATCTTCTCCTTCCGTCTTCTGCTTCTCCCTTGCTTCTCCTACTTACTTTCACCCTCTCTGCTTCAATGGCAGGCCTGCCTTATCTCATCTTTCTTGCCAAGAACACAACTTTCAAAAGCCTTTGTTCTGCTCTGGGTTTTGCAGCTGTGGTTTTTCAATTGTGGAACCTGCCAGCTCTGGCAGTTCTGAGTGTAGGCTGCACCCTTTGTACCTCCCGATCTTTCTTCTCATTCCTCTTACAGATATCTGTCCTTACACCTGAACTTATCCTAGGGCTTCCTGGGTAGTCATATCAGCCTTTTGAGACTGTTTTTCTCTCCTTCATTTGAATTTTCAGAATTTCACAATAAAAGACTCCTATCACCCTAGAAGGATCTTCCCATTTTAGAGTTTCTGTATGCAGAATCTCATATTTCCCCTGATCTAAAAAAAAAAAAAAAGACATTTTAAAGCCTTTGGTAGGACTTTAGATTGAGGTGGTACAAATAACGGGATGGGCAAGAAGACAGGGGAATGAGGAAGAGCAGATGAGTTGTAGGTATGTTCTCAGTGAAGTCAGTGTATTCAATAAACATGTCCTGAGCGGATGGGGAGAAAGGAGTGAGATGAAGAATCAGGCTGAAAGATGAGAGGAGTGGGGCAAGGATAAAAAAGAGAGTAGAAGAACTAGGAAGAGAGGAGGGATTAGGAGATAGATGGAAGGATGAAGGCAGATGGGGCTATATGATGGTGGATGAGAGGATGCTGGGAACACCCATGAGATGAGAATGGGTGGTGGGCTGGTGGGAAGGCAGGAGTCAACTTACTTCTTCTCCTGAGTCTTCTTGATGATGAAGGCAATGAACTTCTTAACCAGCAGGATGAAGATGAGGAGCCCAATGACCCCGCCCACGACACCCAGGATGATGAGGGTCACGGTGTTGTCCACTTCTTCCACTTCATGGTCAGAGAAGAGAAAGAAGAGGGGTGGAGAAGGAGAGCAGGAGTCACCTGGAGCACCATGGCAGCCCCACAGCTCCCCAGCCTCCAACCTGGGCCTCTGGGACACGCCCACCCCAGCAGGAGGCAGGAGAGGCTAGACTATGGCATCCATCAGGCTAAGACATAACAGGAAGTCGTCCCTCTCCCCCTGTGCTCCACACATACACCCTCCCGCAGACACCCACACAAGTTCTGGAATAACTCAGACTTGGGGACCACAGCATCCAGGTTTGATTTGACCCTCAAGCATGAAACTTTCATTGCCTCCTTCTAGGTTTCCTTTTACCCATGCAGAAAAAAAAAATTGAGAATCTCCCTGCAATATCTCTTATGTGGCCAGAAGACACAAGAGCCAGGTAACCTAGATTTCAACAACAGGATGTCCACAGTCACTAACTAGCTGGTAACCTACAGCTGGTCACTTAACCCTTCTAGCCTCAGTTCCCCCATCTGAAAACTGAACTCCCGACTTCCCAAACCTGCTCCACCCACAATCTCCTCCATCTCTGCTGAGAAAACACCATCCTTTGAGTTGCTCTGGCCAAAATCCCTGGAGTCATCCTTGACTCCTCTCTTTTTCTCAAACCCCTATATCCAACCCACCTGAGAATCCTAATGGCCCTAACTCCAAAAAATTACAGAATCATGAGCATCTTCTCTGCAGGAATCCCACATCATCCAGGAGAGCAGTGGAGCCCAGGAAAACAAGAAACGCAACACAATCAGGATGCCTAAGCAAGTTTCTTTCCTTTTTCTCAACTTCCATGCCTCGCTAGCCTTCCAGGCTCCCCTCTCCATGATGCCCACTCAGTCATAAATCCTTCAGCCCCTTCTCTAAACACCCAGTGTCAGGGTCATGGGATACCCTCATCACGTGTTTCATCATTGTCTAATTGTTCCACCATTGTTGGATTGGAATCCCCTCAACCGGGACTTAAGCTTCAGAGGGGAGAGACCATTCTTATCAATCTCTACTGGAACTTCCCTGGTGGTCCAGTGGCTAAGACTCCAAGCTCCCAATGAAGAGAGCCCTGGTTCGATCCCTAGTCAGGGAACTAGATCCCACATGTGGCAACTAAGAGCCCACATGCCTCAACTAAGACCTGGCTCAGCCAAATAAATAGATAAATATTTTTTAAATCTCTGTTGCCTTGGCTTTGCATGCTTTGCCCCATTTCAGTTATGTGTTTACTTGTCTCCTGGCCTACCCTGACCTGTCAGTTCTTTGAGAAAGGACACTGTGTATCATTCATAGCACTTTTTGGTCCTACATGGCATTCATTCAGCTGTTGCTAACAGAATACACAAGAGTAGTAATAATCATCACATAAGGAGAACTTCACAACACACTTCCATGTAGCTTCTGGAACTCTCACAGCAACCCTAAGATAAGGCAGATCTTCAATCAAGGAAAACAAGGCTCAGAGGGCCTCAGTGTATATCGTAAGCTATTCAGTGACAGAGAATAAGTATTCACACTAAGTTATTCGAGTTTCCAGATGTAACTCCAGTTGCCCTTGAAAGCATAAAGTGAAAGAAAACACCAACATGGGCCATTTCACCATTACCCTGAGTTGGGTACCCACCCCCACCCCGTCCTTCCAATTGCACTGCCCTTGTCCCAGACCCATTGCATACATTTATCAACAACTTGGAGGAAGATGGTGGCCTGGTGCTGAAAATCATTCTCCTTGGGGTTCTTCACATGGCAGGTGTATTTGCCCGTGTCGCTGAACTCCAGGTTCTTCAGCGAAATGGAAATATTGTTCATTTTCTCCTTTGTGGAGCCCTGCAGAGTGATGCGGTCATCATCTTTCGATTTCACCTTGGGGTCCGACTTCTCATTCTTCACAGTCCCATCTATGAGCTGTGTAGGAAGATAGGAGCAAGGAGGTGGCCAAGAAAAAAATCTGAGTCCTTTCTAGAGTCATGACATCACTCCAGCCCACTCCTTGGGCACCTCCCTGCCCAGGCCAGGAAGAGCCCTTCCCCTTGGCTTCCCACGCTTATCGATAGCTCTGTCTGTCTAACCTGGATTTTACTTGCTTCAGGCTAAACCCAATTTCTGTTACTAAGGTCTCCCTAGAAGTAGCATGACTTTTACTGCTTTCTTCATAAAAACCTTTTAATACCACATAAATGCCTGTTAATACCACACTCACTTCCCTCTGTCATTCCTTCCAGCTTTTGCTGACACTTCGTCCCCTATCTGCCTGAATTCTGACCCTCCATCAAGATGTGGATCAATCCCACAGGGCAGGGCGTCGGCACCCTCTGAGTTCACTGTTTAATTACATCCAGAGTTGGTCTCTTGTGACTTCCAGTCCCCTACTAGGTTGCAGAGTACTCAAAAAACACCTGCTGGGACTTCCTTGGTGGTCCGGTGTCTGAGACTCCACACTCCCAATGCAGGGCGGCCTGGGCTCAATCCCTGGTCAGGGAACTAGATCCCACATGCCACAACTAAAGATCCTGCTTGCCACAACTAAGATCTGGTGCAGTCAAATACATAAAGAAACATTTAAAAAAAAACACCTGCTGACTCTCCATTCCCACCCCCAGCCAAAGCCCTGGACCCTTCTCTTCTCCAGCATCCCTTCCATCCTTCCAAGGTCCATTCCCCAGCCATTCTTCTGTTTGGACTCTTCTCATTCCCCCTCTCCAAGTCTTCCAAACGTCTTGTCTCTTCTGCTTTTTTAATTAAATTATTAATGTTTACACAAGCTAACCAAGTTTCAGGTATTTCATCAGACCAGACAGAGGACTCTAGACAGGAATTCCAACAGACCCCAAATTCTGGCAACAAAAATCTAAGCATCCTTCCCACATAGATCTGTCTAGACAGGCTCTGGAAAGAATACTTGGAGAGAGACTTCCCTAGTTGTCCAGTGGTTAAGAATCTGCCTGCCAATGCAGGGGCCATGGGTTCAATCCCTGGTCCGGGAAGATCCCACATGCCATGGGGCAACTAACCCCATGCGCCACAACTACTAAACCCACGTGCCCCACAGCCCCTGCTCCACAACCAGAGAAGCCACTGCAGTGAGAAGACTGTGCACCACAACTAGAAGGTAGCCTCCACTAGCTGCAATGAAAGAAAACATCAAAGACCCAGTGCAGCCAAAATAAATAAATGCATTTATTTTTAAAATAAATAAAAGGTGAGGGTGACAAAAGGTGCATCAAAAGGTCCCTGGGGGCCATCATCGAGGGGTCAGTCCAGAAAGGACCATAGCCTGGGGTGGGAGGCAGGGGTGAGGGGACAAACCCGGGAGGAGGATCTGAGCTGTCCCATCCCTTCTCCGTCTACTTACGATCTTGTATGTATCACTGCTGTTGTAGGACCACCAGAAGTGTAGGTTCTCGAAGCCAAAGCAGCTGGAGAAGGTGCAGGGTAGCAGGATCTCCGTGCCGTTGACAGCGTAGATGGTGGTGGCCTTTCCCACAGACACCTCCAACGACAGGGACACCGGGAGCAGGAAGAGACCTGTGTGAGGGGCACCACCTCCCTGAGTACAACCCCACCGGCACCTCCAGGCTGCAGGCCTGGAAGGAGTGGCATGGTCCGGCAGGGAGTCTCTTTTGCCCTCCGTGTCAACATTAGGAAGATGGTTCTCTTTACTTTAACCGACTCTGCCTGGACCACCTCCGTGATGCATTCTCCCTCTTGGCCTGAGCCGGACGGACCTCCGAGCGTTAGTAGCCCTTGTGACACTCTAAGTGACCACCAGGGGTCACCCCAACCCAGGAAAACCAGGTCCCGGCCTCCGTGCCGCGAGCCCGCGCCCCCTAACCAGCGGATGTGGTCCCTGCAGCCCCCAAGTGCAGAACCTGCGCCTCCTGTTGGCGCTGGGAGTCTCCCCAGGGACTGTGCGCCACCCCCTCTTGATATTTTCCGGATTTGGCGGGGCGGGGGGGTTCAGAGACTGAGTGGGTCTCCTGAGGCGGCTAAAAGGAAAACGGCAGACACAGGACCCGGCTCCTCGGCCGCTCATCACGGACCCTGGCAGCTCCCACCTGCCCCAAGGGGCCGAGAGGAAGGGGGCTGTCTCCGCTGGACCTTGCTCCACCACCGACAGGGACCCCGAGAAGAAAAGAGAGACAAGGCGGACCAGGAGGGCATCCCTCAGGGTGGGGTGGAACGGGGATGTCTTGGCATCAGTCAGCAGCCGCGAAATCAGAGGGAATAAAGCAATAACCGCAGAGAAAGCGAGGGCGGAAGACACTTTATGGAGGCTGACTCAGGGCAACAGGATGCTGGCAAGAGTGGGCACTGCACCCATGGTCCCCTCTGGACCCAGAGTAGCCCCTCGACTGCCTGCAGCCCCACTGCAGCCTCTCATCCTGGGAACATCCCCACCCCACCCCTTCTTTCCCACACCTTCCAGTCCACTGCCATCGCTGCCAGTGGAAATTCATCGCTGTGAATTTCCACTCACGGTCTCTGGGCACTGCCTTGTGAGTTCATGAGTTCTTGTAAGAGAACCTGGCCCTCCAGTCCTACAGAGTCCTTGAGGAAACCCCGCTGTACCTCAAAGTCATGAGGAGGTGGGGCATCAGAATTAGAGACTAGCTGTCCTTGCCCCTAAATGAACCAGGGTCACCCTGGGTGAGGACACAGAGTCCTTCTCAGGTTCCCAGTGATGCTGAGAATAATGACCTTTTCCTGAGCGGAGATGCTGGCTAAGGCTGCATGTGAGTAATCTCATAGCATCTTCACCTCTCACCTGGAAGGAGGGTCTTATTAATCACATTTTACAGGTGGGAAAAATAAGGATCAGAAGAGCAAAGTGCCTTGTGCCTAGGCCAAAGTCCTAGAACTTAAAGAGGTAGTTGAACTGTGAACTGGAGTGTGACTCCAGGGCTAGTGGGCAGTTGAGAGCAGACCTCTGCCTGCACCACCTCCTATGCCAAAGTTTCCCTGGCACCTCTTCCCAGACTGTAGCTTCTCTCAACTACTTGGACCGTCAGCCTGGCATTCCCACAGTGTCAGAGCTAAAGGACCCAGGTGGTTTCAGGTTAGAGACACTAAGTTGCCACTGCCTGATTTTGGAGATGGGACAACCAAGACCCAAAATGGGAGGAGACTTGGCTGAACTAACTGGGTTCAGTGGCTGAGCCACTTGAGAACCCCTCTCAGGCCAGTCAGCTCCCAAATCTGCAGGCAATTCCCAGAACTGTTCTTGTTCCCAAGACAGGTAGGGTCAGTCTTTGGTTTAAAGTTGCCAACCTTGCTCCCATCCTCATTCTCAGGGAAGGACCTCTTTTATCAAGCTTAATGTCCTCATCATATCGATACATCATAAATCAGTTTCCTCTTGGTTTGAACACATGAGGTAAGTATGCCTAGCGCCACTTGGGCAATATTTTTTAACTTAGAAGGAGGAGACTTCCCCGGCAGTCCAGTGGTTAAGACTCTGCACTTCCACCACAGGGGGCTCAGGTTCAATCCCTGGTTGAGGAACTAAGATCTCACCTGCCATGTGGTGCAGCCATAAATAAGTAAGAGGAGCTCCATGGAGAGCTGGAAGCCCAACTCTGCTCTTAGGACTCTCTCAGCTTCTTCATGTCCCTCTTCACTTCTGAAGGCAAAGTGGACTGCTCTTAACACAAAGCTCAGAAATGACAGCCCATAGTCCAGGATCCCCTGCCACTGTCAACAACTGCTGGTGTATGCTCAGCATTTACTATATGATGGCTACATATAACCCCCACACCCACGCCCTGAGTGGTGTACCGTAATAGCTCCATATTACAGACATGGCAACTGAACATAGACAGGTTTGGTGACTTGCCTGAGGTCAGCAGAGGGGCTTCCCACATGGTGCTAGTGGTAAAGAACCCGTCTGCCAATGCAGATGTAAGACACATGGGTTCAGGTTCAATCCCTGGGTCAGGAAGATCCCCTTGAGGAGGGCAAAGCAACCCACTCCAGTATTCTTGTCTGGAGAATCCCATGGAGGAGGAGCCTGGCAGGCCACAGTCCACAGGGTGGCACAAAGTCGGACACGACTGAAGCGACTTAGCACACACACACACAAAGGTCAACAAGAGACATTTCTAGCATCCCAAAGCAAGAAAGCCCTACCTTACATCCTAAAATAACAGGTTTTGCCCACCAGAGTTCCAATTAGTGCTGAGGGGTCATTTCAACTAGCCTTCAATCTTTGATCAGCTCCTCTGTGCCAGGAGTTGTTCTAGAGCAGTGGCTTTCACAAAGCGTCAGAATCAACTGGAGGGCCATTACAGCTCACTCTGCCAGCCCCACCCCAGCAGTTCCAGATCCAGCACCTAGAGTGGAGCCTGAAAATTTGCATTTCTAAGAGGTTCCCAGAAAATGCTGCAATCAGAGATGACGCTTTGGGCCCCACTGTGCTAGAGGATTTCTACCTATTAACTTCAACTCTGATTAGAATGGGTATCATTTTTCTCATTATACAGATGATACAATTGAGGCTCAGAGAGGTTAAGTCACTTGCCCAGGGTCACATAATAAATGGCGGATCTGGAATTGAGCACTGACTGTAAAATAGGATGGGCATTTTACAGGCACTGTCTCATTTAATCCTCATGATAATCCTAATGAGGTAGTTATTATTTTTATCCCCAACATGCAAAATGAAGAAACAGGCTCAGAGAGATTAACTTGCTCAAGGCCACACAACTGGTGAGTGGAATAAGCAGAGTACAGACCGAGCTCTGCTTTCCACCACCCTGAGACGGTGCCTCTCCAAGAGAACAATGCTGTCAGGGCCAGCCCTCCTTAAAGCTCCTGGTTTTCTTTTCATTTCTCCCCTCCCTCACCACCTTGCCCCAGAGGTCTATGGACAGGAGCTGTCTGCATGATATTACACCCTCCTGCCTAAAAGATGGCCTTCAATTTTGGTTTTCTTTTTTTTTTTTTTTTTTTGCCACACTGCATGGCATGCGGGATCTTGGTTCCCTAACTAGGGATTGAACCCACATCCCCCGCAGTAGAAGCAAGGAGTTTTGCTTGCTTCTGGACTGCCTGGGAAGTCCCAAGAAGACAACCTTCTGATGGGAGACCTCAGCGTTGCCTCTCACCACCCCCCACCACCTCCACAAACCAAAGAATAGAGTGCAGTGTGGTGATGGGAAAGCACTCAGCAGAAGGAGCTTCCTGATGCCTACAGTGCTCCCTCGGAGCCTGAGCACATGTTCCGAGGAGCACCAGCCTCTAGTGTCCGGGCTCCTGGGGGAGATGGGGGGATCCAAAGCAGGAGCCAAACACCTCCCCCCCAACCTCAACTGGAATAGACTATCCAAGCAACATCAGAAGTGAAATCTTTTTGATCGCTTTAAATAGAAGCAAAAACAAACAAACAAAAAAAACCAGTCCAGGACAAAGGAGAAAAGTACTTCTCTAAGGTCTGACTCATGATGGTGCGCATTTCCGCCTGATTAGTGTGCGCCTGTGTGGATGACTTAATTCTAATGTCTCAGGACTCCCAGACTCCCAGAGTGAAGCATCACCATTCCCACCATAGCCTGGAAGGGACAGAGGAAAAGCAGAGATGTTTCCACAGTGAAGTTCAGAGTCCTGCCTGAATTAAAGCATCAGAGATGGGGAGCAAGCCTGGCTTCTCCACTGCACACCCTCCCAGCAGGCAGAAGTCTTGTCAGCCGTGTCTGGGAGGCTCGTGCGCGGGAAACCCAGAGGCCTGGCTCCTGTGCCTTCTTCCCTGTGAGCCTGGGCTGTGGGCAGAGAAGGGGGCAGGGTCAGATCTAGATCCACTGGAGGACTCAGAGAGGTACTTCAGCAGGATGACCAAACCAGGATGGATATGTCAGCAGGCACATGGCAAACCCCACCTAGCCGGCTGACCTTGAGAAAATCGGAAGTGCTAAATCCTCAAACCAGGGATGCCTGTCTTTCCTACCTTCTAAGCTTGGTATAAAGCTAAAAAAACATGAGTTTATAAAACATGAGAAGGGCTTCAATGAGTTTATCCCTCTGGCCTGGACTCTCTGCCGGTAGAGGTGCATAGTGTTTAAAAGGAGGCAAGGGGACAGGGCTGGCCTAGGTCTAGATGAAACCAAGTCACTCGAGTTAAGGACCAGTGTCAGCCAACAAGATCTCCAATCCATTCATGCACTGTTTTATACTTTCACCCTGTACTACTTTCTGGAGGTAATTATTTCCATGTGGTTACTTCCTCAGATAAAGAAGGACTTTCTTTGCCCCAAACTAAACTCTTTAGAATTTCAAGTGATCTTGTGTGCTTTTCAGATTGGGGGTCCCTTTCCAGCTTCGTGGGATGGGTGGGAACAAGTCCTCTGATCCGTGATCCTGTGGAATTCAATCCTAAGCCTTGTCTTTGCTCACTGAAAGTCCCTAACTTTGCTCACTGAAAGTCCCTAACTACTGAGCCATTCTCAGAACAGCCATTTTCTTGGCTGTTTTTTGATCGGCCCCCTCCCATCTCATGCGATTATGTCTAAGGATTGACTCAGGCCTCCCATTTAAAGTAAAAACTTTAAGGCAAATGTTATAAAGGCAAATCTTATCATTAAATACACCAAGGGGGATCTCATGGCTACCATCAGACATTCCAAGGCAAATGCCAAGGCAGAAATCTTCTGCCACCTTTTCCCATATCCGGGTACAGTGGCACCCAACTTAGGGCGGGAGGAGGAAAGAGGGCCAGCATGGAGCACACTCTAAGTTTAGCTCCCCAGTCTTGCCTGGCAAGGCAGGCAGAATCGCGGCTGACTTTAATAGGGAAGCTGAAACACTCTGGCCCCAGGGGAGTCAGGTTCAAAGTAAGAGCTCGGAGGGAGAAAGTGGGCCGAGGCCAGCAGGACAAGACCCCTCCTGGGGTGCAGGCCCTGGGGGCTGTGGGAGGCAGGGCTGAGCCAGGCAAGGCCCCTGGGCCCAGAGACAGAGGTAAGATTTCAGCTCCCTCTCCCTAGGCAACCTGCCGGCTTCCTGCGCACCCCCAGGAGCTTTGCAGGGATAGAAACATGCCCCTGAGACAGTGCTGGATGCTCAACAAAACCAGCTTTGCAAACAATTCCAAGTGGTGTGCCCACCCCTCCTCTTGCAGGCCATGGAATGGGTGTGGCTTCTGCAGAGATCCTTACACCCTCAGCAGCAGGGCAAGGTGGGAGAATCTGTGCCTGCGGTCTACCTAGCATGCTGGTCCCACCCGCCACAGCAGCCATAATGACTTGGGACCCCACAAGCCTCCATGTCCAAAATAAGAATGAATCCCCAGTTCCAGATTCAAACCTGGGGTCTTTCTCCTCTTCCCTGCTTTCCCATCCTCTTTGCCATGAACCGCTTACTTACCCTTTCCTTTTCCTTCCTCTGAGTGGGACTAAGCACCCTCTGTTTAATTGCCTTCTCATTAAACAAGTCCTTAATAAATACATACCCAGGGAAAGAGGGTTGGGCAACAGAGCACCCTCACAAGTGATAATTACACAGAGATCACAGCAATTAAGCAAATCAGGCAATAAGGAAGGAGTGGGTAGGACAGATATATTACCAGTTACAAGCTTAGGAAGGGACTGACACCCTTTTATCCTCAATTGCAATACTGCCATCTTGAAAACTGTGTCTCAATTTAAGAAAGGAGCGTCTGGTCAGATTATCAAAAATCAGTTTCATCTCGGCCTAGGAGATTGAGTTTGATGTGGAGAGAGGAAGCTGGAGGGGTAGACAACTCCTGGGAGCTTACAACTCTGTACCCAGTTTCCATAGTTGTGAGAACAACAGCTCTGGGCCCCCAAGCCTCTATCCTTTCACACCCAGGCTCCCGAGCTCATTGCTTCTTCAGTCCATCAGCACGACCCCTGCTGACCTTCCCCTTCAGCAGACTTTGGTTAACTGAGAGGCAAGTTGGTGTGACAAAGCCCCAGAGACCTGGATTCTGGCCCGCCTGGCCATCAACTGGCTACACACCAGTGAGCAAGTCACCTTCCCTCTCTGGACCATGGTTTCTTCATCCTGAGGGGAGCTCTGTGCTGTGGCTTCCAAAGCTCCTGCCAGCTCTGGTGCTCTACCTGGCTGTCCAGTCGTCTCTGCATCTCCCCTCCTGGACCAAGAGCAAGGATGGCGTCTTCGTGCCAAACTCAAAGCAATGCCACTGTGAGGTCTTATCTGTGGCTGCCTGGGCAAGGTCCAGGTAGGGACTCAGGTTGTATTCCCTCAGCAGACCAGAGGGCAAGGAGCAGAGCAGCTGGGGCCAGTTCTAGGGTCTGCTGGTCTCCCCCTACGAATCACTCTGCTCTCTCCTGGGCACCCAGAGGGTAGCTCAGGGAATCTTCCAAACCTGTTCCAATGGGCCTCTGTTCCTCCCTAGTCTCTCAGCTCAAAGAGTGCTTAGAGGAGGTGGGGGTTTCCACCTGGAGAAAAGTACCAAGAATCTGTGCCTGAAATCCCAACACACACACACACACGGCCGATGGTGGGGTTCCCCACAGAAGACAGGTTCTATGAATACTCTGGCACTCGCATTCCACCAGCCAACCAGGCAATAGGAGAAAGGGAAGCCAGAGGTGTTGGTAAGCAGGCTAGTTTAATGGCGGTGTGAGTTTGAATTCCCCAGTGACCCATTCCCCTTGTCATGCCCACAGTGATCAGAGATGGGATGAGGGGGAGCAGAGGGCCTCTGTGCCCTGCCCATGAAGAGAAGCCTCAGGCCTCGCAGAGACCCACTTCTTAGGGTCACCGTGGAATCAGCACACCTGTGCCCAAGCTACAAGAGAGAACACCAGCTGTAGGGATGTAACAAAAGCAGTGGCTTCTGAGTGAAGGACATACTTTATCCCCGCTCCACCACCAGGTGCTAACATGACAGGTCAGCACACGGTTTACATTGGCAGAAGCAGCAGTGGGCACCCTTAAAGACTTCTGTCTTCCTGTTTTCAGCCCAAATGCTTACATCGTGTGCCCAACCTGATGGGGGGCAGCTGCCAAAAGCCAAATCTGACAAATATAAACAGGAAGAGATGCAGGTGCCAGAGATGGAATCGGCTTACACTGAAATCCAGCTTTGACTTCTGAGAGGCTACATTCTGGACTACTAAATATCATTCCCTAATCTCTAGGAGTTTGATGCTCAAAGGTATCATGCATAAAATAGACACTAATCATCTGTTCCTTCTGTGTTCTCTGGATGTGCCTCCTTAGTCTTCATACTCATCCCAAAAATAAAGAGCCAAGAGCAGGTTAAACAGGTCCTACCGCCCAACCCCATGGACTCTTGACCTAAGAAGAGATACAGGATCCTTCCTAAAAGGGGGAATTTCTTGGCAGTCCAGTGGTTAAGATTTGGTGCTTTCACTGCCAAGTGCATGGATTCAATCCCTAGTCGGAGAACTAAGATTCCCACAAGTCTCGAGCCATAAATACATAGATAAATTTTAAAGGAGGGCTTGAACGATCCTCCAAGTCCCTCCAACCCCATCCAGTCTGCAGAGAAGGCAATGGGCACTAGAGGAAGTAGACAGCGGAGAGGCCAAACAGAAAAGGGACAGGAGGAAGGGGGGCTCCCCCACCTTGAACTGGTGCACGCCAGTGCCGGGCACCAAGCATCCAAGTTGCAAGGAGCTCTGGGCTGAGGTAGAAACCAGCATCCCAACAACCACATGTGCAACCCACCGGGCATCTCCTACACCCGATCCCAGACACGTTCCCCCAGCCGGCTTAAACCTCTGCGGCCCCAAGCTCCAGCTCTAGAAGCTGAAAGCACTAGAGACAGGAAAGAACTAATCGCCGGGCTGGCGGGCGGGATGGGGCGGAGGACGGTGCAAGGTCCCCCGGCAGCTCAACAGTCCAAACTGCGTCCTGGAAGAAGCGGGAGCCGCTCACTGGGGGCCCCGCTCCAAAGCCCATCCGGTCCAAGGTGCTGTTCTTCTAAGTGTCCCCTCCCCGGGGCGGGGGGTGGGGGTGGGGGGAGGGTTGGGGGGAAGAGGTAGAAGAAACCAAGCGGAGGCTGCCTTACCCAAAAGCCCAATGCTCAGCCATCTCTCCCGGGCTGCGCCTTGGTCCCGAGCCCCGGGCATCGTTCTGTTCTCTCCGGAGCGCCCCCGGGGCGCGGGGACGGGATACAGGGCACACCCGCGCTCGCAGCCCGCGGTCTGCAGTGGGGCCGGAGGCTGCCGGGGAGCTCTGCGCCGCCGGGCAGGGCTCGGGAAAGTTAGCGCGGGGAGCGCGAGGAGGGGGAGGCAGGGAGGGAGAGGAGGAGCCGGCTGCTGGAGCGGCCGCCGGGGGCGCGGGGAGAAGGAGGAGCCCGAGGAGGAGGAACGCGAGCAGGGCCAGAAGGACCGCCGAGCTAGCACCGGGGCGAGCGACGCTGCGCCTCTGCTCTGGAAGCGCTCCAGCCGCAGGAGGGGCGGTGGCCGCCGCGGAGCCCGGGGCGCCCCCGCCTCCAGGTCCCGGAGCCCCGGGAGCCGGCCGCACCCCCAGCAACCCCCTCGCCTCCCCCCCACCCCCACCACACACACCCCCCTGCTTCCTCTCCGGCTCGGGCTGGGCGGCTGCGGCTTGGCACTGCAGGGCTGTCCGCAGCCGCCCGCAGCATCCCGTGCGCTGAGCTGCCAATTAGGAGGATAGTTTGGGGAGGAGTCGAGGTGGAGCTTCTCGGGTGTTGGAAGGCTGCGATGTCTGCTTTGGGGTACACGAGTTTGGGTAACGGCTCCCTCTCCCGGGGCCGCGAAGGGACCGCTCGGTCGCCCGCAGCCTGCACTGCCGCAGCCGGTGGGCGTGTGCGGGCTTGTATGTACACTGCGGCCGCCGACGCGCGTGTGTGCAGCCTTGAAGCCCAGCTGTGAAGGGTCCCACGGACCCGGCTTCCAACTGCAAACTGCCCCCGCCACCGCACACCAACCTCTCGCATTGCTTCATGGACTCCTCAGAAATCTTGATGCTCCTGGTTACGGAATCCGGCCAGGCTCTACCACTAGGGCCAAGCCCTGATTCACCCTCCCGGGCACCCCTACTTCCTTTTTCCACCTAGGCCACCCCCTCCCACCCCCGACTCTCCCTTTCCTCCCCCTTCCAAGGGTTTCCTGTGTCCTTCAGAATCCTGGATGACTCCCTTAGGCTCACCTCTGTTTTGAAGTGGGGGTGGATTAGCCCGGGGTAGGAGGTGGGTGGTCACAGCCAGGTCAGAGGGCTTTTCCCCAGAACCTCTGGAGTTACAAGGGAGCCTGTCTCCCGAGCCTCAGTTGGTAAAGAACCCACCAGCCAACTCAGGAGATGCTAGAGACACAGGTTCAATCCCTGATTCGGGAAGATCCCCTGGAGTAGGAAATGGCAACCCGCTCCAGTATTCTTGCCTGGAGAATTCCACGGACAGAGGAGCCTGGTGGGCTACAGTTCATGGGGTCACAAAGAGTCCTGAGGTGACTGAGCGCACACTCTCCCACGCATGCACCCAGTGCTATTCCCGGTGGTTTAGTAACTCATGTCTGCTCTCCTCCTCAGGCCCCCTACCAACCATTCCGGCCCCCTCCCTCCACCGCAGGTCCTGTCTGCATTCCTGCCCCTCCATCCTTTGCCTGTCTGCACACTGGTTCACACTTGGAAACCTGCTTCCACTTCATGGCCTGACCCCTGCTACAGCCCCCTACCACCCACCTTCTTAACTTGAGGGTTCTTGGTGGGATTCAGAGATCATGGACCCCTTGAGGTTGTATGGGAAATGCTGGATGTCTATGTGTTTTTTTCCTTTTCTTATTTTCCTGGGAGAAAGATTTGGTATAGCTATGATAGTGGTACAGTGGCTCTGGAGTTAGACGCTGGGGAATCAAGTCCCAGCTCCAGCGTTTATTGTTGGATGACCTTGAGCAAGTTATACAATCTTCTGCAGAAGCCTCATCTGTAATATGATGAAAGTGATGATATTTACCTCATGAAATTGTTAAGGTCAATGCCACCCTTCTACCTGGGCAACAGGGGCCTCAGCCCTGGGCTACTGAGTTTGGAGGGTCTCACTCTGGCCCTCCTTTGATCACACACCCTCCTCCTCACTGGAAAAGTGGTTCCTGGAACAGGAGGGGAGAGTAATCCATACACCTCATCTTCTAGACCATGCTCCAGACATCTGGGATCATGGAATTCTCTGTTCAAATGACCCAATTCTGAGCAGGCCTCTTCCCTGGGCCCATCCTCTCAGGAGCTGCCCCTGCAGAATGTGTACCCACAGGCCTGGGGAGAGGGCAAAGGGCAGCTGTTTGCAGAGGGTGGGAGTGGATGGAATTTGACATGCAGGTGGAACCTGACATCCAGGCACACATCAGAGACCCTGTCCTCCAAGGACTAGGGAAGAGTGGGCCAGGGAATGGCTTTGGGGCCTGGCCTTAAAATTAAGACTAAGAAAAATCCATCAGAGACAGAAGATAATAGGTAAGTTTTCACACTTTGTTATCTTGATCGGTAACTTATATTTAGACATATATGTAATTTCCATTTGTGTGCTCACCCCAAGCATCACAGACATCAGATGTAGACCTATGGAGACTGGATGAGATGCTGTTGTTTATCCTTTAGTCTCTAAGTTGTGACTGACTCTTCTGCAACCCCATGGACTATAGCCCACCAGGCTCCTCTGTCCAGGGTTTCCCAGGCAAGAATACTGAAGTGGGTTGCCATTTCCTCGTCTAGGGATCTTCCTGACCCAGGGATTGAACCTGCATCTCCTGCTTGGCAGGTGGATTCTTTACCGCTGAGCCACCAGGGAAGCCCTGGATGAGATATTATCACATGTAAAAGTGCTAATAGAGCTCTCGGCATAGGGTCAGCTCCCAGTACATTTTAGCTCTTGTTATTCTCAAAGAGGTCTGGGTCCCTAAAAAGTCTAAGCCTCTTTCTGTCTCCAAGTTTGCACGTTCACCCCCTCCTTTGCCAGGAGGTCCCAGACACTAGATCCACAGGGCCAGGCATTGACGCTGCTCAATTTATTTTTACAGCAGGGGTCATGTTTCTCAGGAGCTGCAGCCTGAGGTGAGTCAGGAGGTGAGCCAAAGGGAAGGAACGTGACCCCTGCCCAGAGAAGGGGGATGGAAGGGGACAGAGCTTCCTGGGTAGCTCTAGATCCTGGTGACCCGAAAATGTGCCAGTTTCCTCCATGCCCTCCGCCTTCTTAGCTGCATCTCTGCTCACCAATTCTTAGAGCAGAAGGGTCCTTAGGAAACCCATACGCCTCCCAAATGAAAAAACAGGCTCAGAGAGGTAAGATGTGTGGGCCAAGGTCACAGAGAAAGTGACTCCTCAAGTCAGAATTAGAACCTACCCCATTATTTGATTCCCTCCCTCCACACCCCCAGCTCTCCTCTAAAGAACATCAGGAGGACTCCACAACTGGTCAGAAAAAGTGTTTGAAAGATGCATTAGTGGCTAGAGGAATTCTGCATTTAAAGAGCACTTTCCTCAAAAATTCTCAAAACCCTAGTCCATCGATTGATCCATCCAGGGATGCCAGGGGAGAGGGCAAACAAAGGTCAGAACTCCTCTGTCCCACCTTTAGAAAACTACTTCTTTGCGGAGCCCTCCCTGACATAAACCCCCTTTATCCAACTCAGGAGCCCCAGTCTGGGTTCCGGGAGGGGGATGGGCAGTACCTTGGCTCTTCCTCCTCCTCCTCCTCCTCCTCCTCCTGTTGGAAGTCCCTCGAGGGAGGGATGGCAGTTGGGACACAGCCCCCAGCTGCACCCAGCAGGCTGGATACCTGAGGGTGGGCTCCTGCACACTCGGGTCTTGGGCCGTCTGGCTCAGAAACACCCTGAAGAGCAAGTTTTCAAGGAGGCATAGAGAGGTTGGGCGCTGGGCCAAGGAGCTGTCGGGGAGCTGTTATCGGGTGGGAGGAGATAGGGCCTAGATTTAAGGGGAAAGGATTTTTTTTTCCTAGGGGGTGGGGGTGGGATGAGGGAGGGTTCAAGCGTTTCTTTGAAGCAGTTAGTCCAACAGTCCTCTCTGAGACAGGCGAGCCTCTTGGTTCTGGCCCTGGGCCTCCACCCCCGGCCTTTCCGGGAGCAAGATGGGCACTAGGAAGGGGCGCAAGCATGAGATGAGGGTCAGAGGGTCAGAGTGTGGTGGGGACGTGGCCCAGGCAGGAATGGGGGCAGAGCTCTGGCTCACAGCCTTCCAGGGAGATGCTCTTACCCGGGAAGGCGCGCACCCCTGGGCGCAGTCCCACCTTCCACGGTGTGGTCCCCCCCCCACCCGCTCCCCTCTCGCCCTTGCCTGCCGCCCGCCTCCCCCGCTCCCCCACAAGCCCTCGCGGCTCCTGTCCGGGCATTGCAGGTAACGGGGCCGGAGGGCAACCCTGCTGACTCGGCTCTTAGAGGCAGAGGAGAGGGGCTCTGCAGGGAGCCCCCCAAGCCCCCCACCTCACAGCCTCTCCCACCAACCATGGGCCACTTGCATCAACACCCCAGAGCTTATAACCCGGTTATAAACAGAGCCCCAACCTCAGGACCGCAGGACTGCAGGAGCCAGGAAGCTCTGCATGAACTTCAAGCTGAACGCCCCCCAATTCTTCTGCCCCTGGGGTTGGGATTGTGCGGATGTGACCTGGACAGATGTTTGGGAACGTCTTTCTAGTGTACCTCGGTCTATTCGCTGCCCACCGGTACTCACCATTCCTGCCCCCACCCCCAGCTCGGTGCCTGCTTGCCCCAGCCAGTCTCAGCATAGGCTGAAGTTTGGCAGGTGCAGAGGGGGTTAACCCGACAGCGTGTACCTAACCAACCCGAAGGCACGCGGCTCAGCAGTCCAGCAAGGAACCAGTACTGGTCACCTTGCCTGCTGCTCCCCAGCCCACCAGGCATCTGAGTTGGGGTGGAGATAAACACTTCCTGAACCCTCCTCAGGCATCTCCACTTTCTAAGGGTTCTGGGTACAGGCAGGTAGGCAGCCACCTCCTCCATCCCTCCCTTCCTCTTTTTCTGTTTTCTGCCAGGTTCTTTCCAAATATCCTCTCAGGCAAAGGGGGGGGTGGGGAGCCCCAGACAGATGAGCTCATTGGGAGGAGGAGGGAAGAGAGAGGAGGAAGCTGAAATATCCTGACCAGAGAGATGCTCACCGGACTGTCCTAAGCTGGACAGGGGTGTGTGCCCCCTTCCAGGACCAGGCTCTGCTTCCCTCACTGCAACTCAGAGATGGGGTGAGTCCTGGGCATCCCTTTATTCTGGGCCACTTTGGGGTGGGG